ATATGCCCTACCTTGCCCCCCTAATGGACGCCCTGTTATCGTAATAACGTCTCTGCATGATCATAAAATTATGGTGTTTTCAACTATAGTGTATTTACACCCAAGATAGAATGGATGCATGATTTCCAAAAGCAAGGACCGCGTACAGGGCTACCTCCGAATGATGAACTACCACCAACGTGTTGTAAAACAAAGAAGGCAGTATTTAACAGAAACAGAAACTTAACAAATTACTCAAATACACTTAACAACAACAACAGCAACAACCAAGCAAGGTGAATACGAAAACACGAGCACGCAGTGATACACGCGACGGACGGTGGCCTGAGTGCAACTCTGCCTGCCCTGCCCCTGCCCCGCGCATTATTCCGCCAGCAGGCCGCTTGAAATTTAATGGCGAATTGACCAATAAGAGGCGTCGTCCCCACCTGTTACCGAGAGAACTGTTATTATTTACATCTCATCTTGAATTTGGATTCAGTTTAGCTAGGTTTTTCAGTTTAAGCTTCTACAATTTCATTTTATTGTTTTATTATCCTGTACAGTTCTAAAATACCATCACTATGAAGCCATCTCATCTAGCGTTCAGCTGACGCGACCGATAGACAGATTGAAACTTGAAAGCTTTTTTTATCTGGCATAATCAAGTATCGATCTGAGGTTGTCGTCGATACCAAGAAATGAACAGCCGACTCTACTAGTGAGAATTGTTGCTTTTCTTCTTCAGCATCTACCGCGTGGACGCCACGAGAATTCAAATCAGTGGGGTAGCGGTTAGATCTAAGGCATTACACGATTTCCTTATTTTCACTTCCTGTCCTATATTTCAATGAGGGTGATATTTAATGCTCGCGGCAGGTTTGAGTAAGGAACGACCAAGGGAACGGCATAGAATCTCTGAAGCCTTAGGTTGCGAAATTCTAACTGACAAATACAGAACTATTCAAAGAATAGGTCCTATTATCATCAGAGATAGTGATGAGATGACGTTGTTTTCATAATTATTATACTTTTCCATGACAAACTTGAATAACCACCTGCGTTTTTTTAAGATAGAATGGATCTCTACGAATTTTACTTCATATGTCAAACCGATTTTTCTCCAAAAAGACTTAGTTGCCAAAAGTGTCTGAATAAAGAGCATACTTATCTTCTTCTCATGTAACGATATAAATATTCGTGTAACTACGCCACTGGTGTAATTGAAGTAACAAAAATATTTCTATGTATTCACCCTATATTATTTTACTTTCAGACACTCCACCCTGTATTTCTGGGTACATTTCATGACCCAGTAAGGTTCCGTGGAATTATATACGTACATTCTGCCGTTGTAATATTGCCACTGCTTTTTGAATTACCCTGTATAAATATAAATTGACGGCTCGGCCACAACCAACTTTTTCAGTTTACATAATTGCTAAAGAATTCCTTAAGCGCGATGCATAGGGACAGTCTCAACAATTAGTAAGATGGGCTGAAACTGTTTGTTTTACGACCCTTTGACCTTTACCAGCTGCATACAACGTTGTTGGAGACAAGCAAACAAGCTCTCTAGCGACAAAACCTATATCGTGCTGATCACTGCTAGGAAGCATGAACCAACGTTGTATACGGTTGTTCATGGTAATAGAGACGGACGACAAGCAGATTCAGCTTGAACTGTGCGTATTTTTAAAATCAATGAATTAATTAATTCCACCGCATTGTACATATTGTTTTTGCTGGTGGCTTTGAGAATACTACGTATTTTGGCTGATTGACGGGTCGTCCTTTTGATGACTTAGAGCGAGGCGCATAGTACAATAACTGTCATTCTGCGTAAGCCAGAGGCGTAAGCGCATTTTTGTCATTATCTGCGTAACAATTTAGTATCCATCAAAAGTGTAAAATTAACACTAAGGAGCTGCCATTATCAATCAGGACAAAAGATCAGCGGAAGACTACATACAAATTTCATAAGAATCCGCTATTTTCTATTGACATTTCTTCGGGAACATATAGTTGCTCTGACACTGCCAGTATGTAGTTTTGACGGGCGATAGCTCGACCACCATCCCACTGCTGAACATCTAACGGCTTAGGGTTATTATGTGAAAACCCTATACAGGGTGTTTCACAACTTATCCGACAAATTTTAAACACATGTGAACTGTTACGAAAGAAGTTGATTTTTCAAAAAAAAAATGTAATAAAAGTCCTACAGAAATCGAGAGAGTAAAATAATATGTAATATGCACCACGATGTTGCATGTGACACTTCTGGGACCTGTTGGGCTAACTGCCTAGTGCTTATTACCGGATTTTCTTCCACAATATCCAAAATTTCATCTTCGGCATTTAAAACGCGTTGTGGGTGAACCCGACCCCCATCCACTCCACGTCTGGGGCGCAAATCTTCCCTAGCACGTGCACGTAAAACAATTGAACTAAATGTTTCGTGATGTGGTATGTTCCTATTCGGAAATCGGTGTGCATACAAACGAGAAGCCGCTCGCGAATTTTGACCTGCTTCTCCCTGCGCTAAAACAATGTCCTCATTAGTGTAAACATGTGCATTTTTATTAATCAACAACTAAAAACATAAACTCGCAAAATACTTTCCCATTTAGCTTAACAAAAATCGACCGTTCTTCATTCAGATCACCCACGATACAGATTAAACCTTATTTACACGTTCTTATCACTATGAAGAAACAAAAAGTTGCTGGTATTTTGTTTTCGTCAGTTGTTTGGTACAATATTTGCTACAATAAATTAGTAATGCGTGTTCTAATATCACGACGAGGAACGCAAAATACAGATATTTATTTTTCAATTTATTATTGAAACTCAAGCTTATAACTTAATTTCTGTAGGACTCTTGTTACATTTTTTTTTTTTTTGAGAAATCAACTTCTTTCGTAACAGTGCATATGTGGGTAAAATGTATCGGATAAGTTGTGAAACACCCAGTATAATGTCAAAAAATCGGTAAAACTTCAACTTGTGTTTAGCACAAACCAGACCCTCTGAGAAAAAAGTCAGTCAAACAGGTCCATACAATTACTCCATAGATATTCTTTCCCAGTCCTACCGGTAGTGCGTCTGGAAACCGTCGCCTTTCACCGAGCATAGGAAACACTATGCTGTGGCGTGGCGAGTTACCAAGGGTGATAGCGTCTAAATGTACTAAAATCAAAAAAACGAAACAGACCCTCCCCACCCCCCTGCAACTGCAACACCAAGTCTTTTTTACTTTAAACATTTTTTTTCAAAATGATCGGGATCCTCTGAAAGGTCAAAAAACGAAGTTTGAACGGTTTTCATTCTCTTTGTTTTTTGGCCTTTTTCTTTGCCGCCACTAAACCGACTATCAATAACTTTTACGTCCTTGGCTTAGTAGTAACATTGTGTAAAAATTTCATCGAAATTGGAGCAATTCTTCTCAAAATGGGAACCGACCGACAGACACACAGACCGATGGAAATGAGTGACATAGTTTTTCGTGACGTACATGCCATATAACATCCAAAAAACATATTATATGATTTCTGAAAATTTTCGCGATCACAACACCGACCAGAGGCATAGGAAGTAAAAATTACTAATAAAAAATCTTCAAAAATTGTTGCTTTGATCTGGATAGAAGCTTGTGCTTTAAGGTAAACTGAGTGCGTAGATTCCAAAATCGATGTCAGTTTAATGCTAGTATTCACGGGTGGCCCCGGATATAGAGGGTGTTCCTTAATGATATGCGAATATTTAAGGGTGTGAGTCTACATGAAAAAATGGAAATTAATCAATATTTTCGGAACCTCTTCAGATATTTCACTGATATTTACTACCCAGTGAAAGTTAATAAAGTTGCATATTTTGCAAAAACAATTTTTAGACTTCGATATTTTTTAAGAAAAAAATGGTACGCCAATGGTTTTTTGTCAAATAAAAATTATTTATAAATACCCCCTTCAGATATTCCTTTTCGGACAGAACCAGTTTCAACAAGACGACGATGAATATTAGAAAAGGTTGATCGCGATATCTCTGGTGATAAATCTATTTGACTTGCTCACCATTACCATCGGCAAGGCCATATACGTAATGCATTTCCGCCATTTCTGCATTTGAATAATTCACCGTTATTAACAAGATTGTAAGAACTAAATAATGAAAAGGATATCACAGCGAGCAGATTTCAAGAACAGAGACTTGTCAGATGTCAAAAGCCAGTGACATATTTCAGAGCAACTAGATATTTATTTTTTGCTAAATTGCGTTCTTCAATTATTACATTAATTTTCTCGGACAATAGAACGGTTTTTATTGTTTTACTCAAAAATGGCGCATCAAAGGTAAGCCACTCAAGAGAGATCATTTGTTTTAAATTGAACGAAGAGTTCAAAAATACCTTTTATTTGGCAAAAAACCATTGGCGTACCATTTTTTTCTCAAAAAATATTGAAATCAATACCCGTACGCACGCCACTATTAAAGCTAAAAATTATTTTTGCATTGAGAAATATGCAACTTTATTAACTTTCAATACGTACTAAATATCAGTGAAATATGAAAAGCGGTTCTGAAAATATTAATTAATTTCCATTTTTTTCATAAAACTTCAACACCCCGAGTTTTTGTAAGGAAACATTTTTGGACCATAGTTTATAAAGCAAACTAACATTAATTTTTCATATAGATTCACACCTTTAAATATTCGCATGTCATTAAGGAACACCCTGTATATGTCTTTAGCCTTTTTCCCTTCCGCCACTGGACCGAGAAAATTTTCGCGATTACAATACTTGCATAATGTCATGAACATTCGAAATAATGTCCCTTTTTAGGTTTAATATGGGTGCGGTTCGCCTTAAGAAGTAACGACGAATAGCTTTGCAGTTCCCACTTCAAACTCATGTCATGCATAAAGTAAGTAATGCGATGCGATGAAAGGAGTCTTCTTTTCACTTTCCGTCCACGCAGGCTGATTATTATATTCTTGAACCTTGTTAAACACTTACCATTGCACAAAAATGTTTCTACTATTCAGTGTCTTCAGGAACTAAATCTCAGTCCACGTCACTGCTTCACATCCTAGTATTGTGCACTGTACACGGCAGAACAACCGCCTTCATTGGCTATTCCTCCCAGCCGTCGGTCCGCGATGTAAATTCCGTTTTTTCGCGGGTTCCGCAGAAACGCCACCGACCGAAAAAAGAAATTCTTCCGAAGTGTACGGTTATGGGTGTGATTTCAGCTCCGCACTGTCATCAGTCGTCTTTTTAACTCCTTTTTGACTTCTTTTTAACCTCCGCGCGCAAAAAGTTGCCGATAAAAAGGATGAATACTGACCGCTTGTATGGCGAAATACGTACCTAATGCTCATCAATAAATGACTCGGAGAGATTTGAGGGATTTTACCGATTGTTTTTATAGGTAATGGGTGCTTGTTCTTATCGCACCGTTTTTTATGATGATGGCTCATAGCTGGTTTGATAGCAATGGTTTTTTATTCATCGTCTATTAATCTAATTTTCACATTTAGACGAGGAGAAAACGCGATTTTTTTCATGATCACGTTTGTTCAAAAGAGTTGCGGGCTTAGTCTGGTTTTATTGATGCAAGTGGTTCAAGGAGGTATTTAAAACATGTGCGCATAAAATGGGTACACCAATTTTTGTGGGAAAACTTTTTATTTCACAACAAAGAATGAGAAAACGTGTTTTTTGGGATTCAATCGGAAGTGTTGACAGGAACGAAAAAACTTTTTATATAAAATTTGAAGGTGTTTATCAGACCTACAAAATGAGACCACACATAAAAAGATTCGACTAATAGCAAAAATTTTATCGCCAAAAAACCAGGCAAAATGCAGGCTTTGGCACTTGTTGTTAATGCGACGATAATTTCAAGCAACTACTTGAAATTCTTCAAATCCATAGGATTCATACTTGTAAATAATAACAACAAAATTGGAGTATACTGATCAAGTAGTTTTTTGAGAATTTCTAATAGTTTATCCCAAAACACCTGTTTTCCGGCCATCACTACTAGTTTATTGAACAATATACAAGGTTCGTTCAAAGAGCATTTCATTGCAAAATACAAGTGTTTACCTTGCTCATATGAATGACATACCATTCCGAAAGACAAATGTTATTTTTATGCGAAAAACAAAGGTTACGTTTTTTTCTCTGAAACAATTTCAAACATTTCATATTTGTGAGTAATTGAACAAATGCAATGCGCTGCGATTTTCGAAAGTATACGTTATTATACGAATTACTCACAAATACGAAATGTTTGAATTTGTTTAGAAGAAAAAACGTAACCCATCCTTTTTTGCATAAAAATAACATTTATCTTCCGGAATAGTTTGCGATTTATATCGGCAAGGTAAACTAGTGTATTTTTATATAAAATTCCCTTTGAACTAACCCTGAACATTGCTCAATAAACTAGCAGTAATGGCCGAAAAACAGGTGTTTTGGGATAAATAATTAGAGATTCTCAAAAACTACTTGACCAATCTACTCCAATTTTGTTATGGTTATTCAGAAGTACAAATCCTACGAATTTGACGAATTTCAAATATCCGCGAGAAACCATCGTCGCATGACCAACAAGTGCCAAAACTCGCAGTTTGTCTCACTTTTCGGCCATAACTTTTTTGCTATTACTCAAATCCTTTTACATGGGGTCTCATTTTGTAGGTCTCATAAATACCTAAAAATCTTATATTGTAGAGTTTTTTCGTTCCTGGTCACACTTCCCATTGAATCCCAAAAAACGCGTTTTCTCATTCTTTGTTGTCGAATAAAAAGTTTTACTACAAAATTTGCGTCTATGTTTTGAATCCCTTCTTTAACAACTTGTAGCCATAAAACCAGACTTTACAATTATTTCGAAAGCCAGGGGTATTTTCGTCTAATATGATTAGACTAGCTGGAGATGAGGTGCAAATATATTTAAGCTTTTCCCTAAAGTTGACCGTTTTCGAGATAAAAATGCTTCAAGGTCTAAAAACCCTAAAAATGGCTATTTTCAGTTCTTGAAAAATGGATTAAAATTCATCGTTTACCAGTCAGCCAAGTGATTAAATTCAAGTTCCAATCCTCCCCTACAACACCTCGAAAAGTATTTTGGGCTTAGTTCATTTCAAAGCATTGTTATTCAACTGTTAACACGCTATGGGCCACCGCGTAGCGATTATTAGCAATTATACAGGGTGTTCCTTAATGATATGCGAATATTTAAGAGGGAATCTACATCTAAACTATGTCCAAAAATGTTTCCTTACAAAAACTCGGGGTGTTGAAGTTTTAGGAAAAAATGGAAATTAATTAATATTTTGAGAACCGCTGAAATTTAGTAAGTAGTGGAATTTAATAAAGCTGCATATTTTTCAATGCAAAAATAATTTTTAGCTTTAACAGTGGCGTGCGTACGGGTATTGACTTCGATATTTTTTAAGAAAAAAATGGTACGCCAATGGTTTTTTGCCAAATAAAAATTATTTTTGAATTTCCCGTTCAATTTAAAACAAATGATCTCCCTTGACTTGTTTTCCTTCGATGCCCCATTTTTGAGTAAAAAAATAAAAACCGTTCTATTGTCTAACTTGCAAAATTATTATTAATTTAATTGGAAAAGGTAAACACATTAGGGGTAATGAACAACAACAACTGGACAGGACAAAAAAAAATAATTTATTGTAATTGGTTTAAAAGCAAGGTTTATACAAATTTGTACCTGTTACAGCTCGGGAACCTCTTGAATGATGTTAAGACGCATTCCACAAACATGTTTCTGAAATAAACACGTTTTTCCTAGGACTGCAAGGTTTTCAGCTCGTCTGATTCTACTATATTAATCATCAAGTTAGTGATTTACTGCTGAATAACTGTCGGACTGTTCAATTTTCGGCATTTCGTAATGCGTTCTCATATGTTTATTTCTAAAACGAGTTTTTTTGCGAATTAATAAAATTCTGAACATTTAAGATATCCCATTTCCGACGTTAGGACAATACAATCTTACAGCTTTTTGGAATCATATGGCCCTAAGGGTGAGATCCACTAGAACAAGAAACACAATTTTTGAAAAATTTCCAAGCATTTGGACGTTCGAACGTTCGGATATCATTCAAATGGTCTCAAACAGTGGAATAGATTAGAAAATAATGTTCAATTCCTTTGATCCTGATTATGAATGATAACCTGAGTTATGTTGACTTGGAGGGTGTTGGTAATACGTAGCTAGTTGGTATAGACCTAAAAAAGTTTCACAAGGCGACTTATATTGGAAAGAAAATACACGTTTCTTATTTTCGACCTCAACATTTACGGTGATTGTTCTCGAAAAGGTCTAATAACACCATAACACCAGTTAGTCCAAAATCTGCCCAAAACAGTTGTTTGAAGATACATAGCATCTAAAATCAATGGTCTGTGTAAATAGTCTGAAGTCCATGGATGTCCTCAAGCTCAACCTAACCCATGCGCCATCGCCTGAATTCATCTGAATCTATCCGGCAGTCATTGAGAACTCTTATTATACATCCGTTAATACAGGGTGGTCCATAAGTCCTTTGAAATTTCAAATTTGAATAAAATTTAACGGGTGAGCGTGAGCGGCGCGGGCGAGGTGGGGGCAGTATCTTCAGTGTCTGGGAATTCAGTCGCCATGGAGTGTTTCACTGGAGCGGATCGTGCTTTTTGTGTGCGCGCGTTTTATCAAAATAATGATTCGGCAACCATTGCGCGGCGTAAATATCGAGAATACCACAATTTACACAATTTTACAAAGTGTCCAACAGCTCAAACGATTAAGAACTGGGTTGCTAAGTTCGAAGAGACTGGTTCGACGTTAGATAAACAGCGGTGGGGTCGACCAAGGACAACTCGTATTGAAGAAAACATCAACATTGTGGCACAGTGTGTTCGTCAAAATCCTACCCAGTCTACTCGGAAGCGTTCCAGTGCACTAAACGTACCCAGAATATCTTTACAGCGGATTTTAAGGAAAGCTTTACGTCTGCACGCTTACAAAATTCAGTTAGTGCAGGAATTAAAAGATAATGACGCTATTCAGAGACTAAACTTTGCGAATGAAATGTTGAATCGATTTTCTTCGCTCAATAATGTGTTGTTCTCGGACGAGGCTCACTTCCATTTAAACGGGCATGTACATAAAATAAACAAAATTGCCGTTATTGGAGCCCCGAAAATTCAAGGCGTAAGCATCAGAAGCCTTTACACAGCCCTAAAGTTACAGTTTGGGCTGCTATGTCAGCGCATGGCATCGTAGGCCCTTATTTTTTTGAGGACGACAGAGGTCGCGCATTAACAGTTACTTCGGAGCGGTATGTAGCAATGATAGAAGAGTTTTTGACACCAGCGTTGCAGAATTTTCCAGGCTATAATACGCAGACCTGGTTTCAACAGGACGGAGCAACTGCCACACCTCCAACACTTCTATGCCCGTCGTCTGTCAACTTTTTCCCAGCAAAGTAATTTCTCGAAGAGGAGACATTTCCTGGCCACCACGTAGTCCAGATTTGACCCCAATGGACTTCTTTTTATGGGGCTACCTCAAGAGTAAAGTGTACGACACCACTCCGCGATCAGTTGATGTCCTGAAAGAAAATATCCGAAGAGAAATGGCAAGCATTACAGTGTTGACTTGCCGCGCAGTCATCGACAATTTTAGACGTCGTTTATATGAGTGCCGTGATCGTAATGGATTGTAATTAGACGATGTGATTTTTAAAAAATAATTCCCATTCAATAAAGATGATAACAAAATATAATAATTCTTCATAATGTAACTAGTTTGGTTTTATTCCTTTTTTTCCAGCTCAAAGGGCTTATGGGCCACCCTGTATATCTCACTACTTTTTTATCAACAGGGTTAAGGAACATACTATCTCCACTATCAATATACTTACTCTTATACAAATCTACAAATCAAAATATTGACTTTCTGAACCTAGATACTGTTTTCAATATCAAGTAGTCCACGCTTGTACAAATGTACAAACCAATGACGGACCTTGTAACAAAAGTGCTACTTCAACTTTCTCGACCTAAGTATGTAACATACTATGTGTACTATCAATATGTTCACGCTCGTACAAATCTACAAATCAAAAATAGACCTTGTCGCATCATCCAATTTATTGATAATTGGTTTTGGCATAGTAATGCATTCCTGCTGTGCAAATCAGCTCATTAACTATCGAACTTTTAATTATTGTTGACGATCATTTATTTTGTTGGCAGCGTGAGGACATCATTAAGATTTAATAATTTGTTTAAATTGTCTAAAATATGTGCATTCATCAGCACACCTCCGATTGTGCGTGATGAAT